AGGCTCCAGTGTCACCTCCTCTGTGCAGCCTTCCCTGATACCCTCTTTTCTGTGTTCCCACTGCACTTTGTTCAGCATCTATTGGAGCACTGATCTCCAGCTATGTCAGGGAACAACAGCTGTAAAATACAGAAATCCTTTCACACTAGCTCAAGGGAAAGGAACACCTTGCAAGACTCTAACAGGCAAACTTGGGCAAGGGAACCAAATGAGGGATAATTAGGAAAAATGGAAAATGGAGTTAGAGAAACCAGATCCACTTTTCTGGCTCTCAGAAACCCAGTGGTCCCTATTTTTTTTATTTATGTTTTTCAACATAATTCATTGTCAAGTTGGCTAACATACAGTGTGTACAGTGTGCTCTTGGTTTTTGGGGATAGATTCTCATGATTCATTACTTACACACAACACCCAGTGCTCATCCCAACAAGTGCCCTCCTCAATGCCCATCCCCTATTTACCCCTCTCCCCTGCCCCCCCATCAACCCTATCCAAAATCTGTAAAGAACTTACCAAATTCAACACCCGAAAAACAAATCACCCAGTGAAGAAATGGGCAGAAGACATGAATAGACACTTTTCCAAAGAAGACATCCAGAAACCCAGTGCTCCTTCTAATCAGCCCCAGGAACTCTCTTATCTCTACTTCTCTCACTCACAACCAGCTTTCTCTTTTTGCTCATGACCTATCATGGTAGGCTACTGAGAGCCCACCACCAGCTGATTAGTTACTGCATCTCTTGGTTTAAGTCTTGAGAGAGAATTGGGTTTCTCACCAGCCAACTGAATGTAGGGAGGAGACATCACATGGTACAAATATGGTACCTAGACCTGCCTCTCGGCAGGGCCTGTAAGTTGGGGAATCCTAAGAGTGAGTGACTGTGAGCATTGCAGGCACCCCCAGAACATGCTCTCTTATTAACTCTCTCCCCTGGTCCCTAGATTATGAACACCATGGGACAATGGAGGATAGTACTTGGGTCAAAATGTTTGAAGGGGAGGGTTTGGATCAAATGGTGGATTTGATGGTTCTCTAAATTCACCTTGCAAGTATTTGAGAAATAAATGTCAGTCTCTGAGAATCAAGAGAAAGGAGTCGAATCTAGCTGGGTTCGTTCCCACACCTGAAATGCTCGGCTGGGAGAATTTACCCGCATCTTGCCATAACTGGTATGGTGTGGGAGTATGCATTGTACCCTGATTAAAGCATAATTAGCAAGCAGCAGGAATCACGCTCTCTGAGAGAGCTCATCCTACTTCCTGTTTAACTTGCATAATTACCCACATCACAGACACTGAAATGACATGGATAATAGACTCTCAGAATGGATAAAGCCAGAGAGGACCTTGGAAATCATTAATCCTCTCATTTTATGAAGGTGGAAAATGAAGCCCAAGGGAAGAACAAGTGCTTTCAAGAGCCAAGACCAAACCCAGGTGTCCCACTCCTGAAAGCAGCCCTGCTTCTGTAGCATCATACTGCAGTGAGGGCAGCATCACCCAACCCAAGTGAAACCAGTTCCTTTGCAGCTACTGGAACTCCAGGCATGGCCAACACTGTTGCCTTCACGCAGCTTTCCCAGCCCAGTCCCTGATTGTCTCCAGAGTACAAAATGCAATTTTAGTAAAACTGATTGCTGCTCCCTACAGCTGTTCATTTCTTGGCTTTCCCCCCACCTCCCCTCTTGTTCTGCCCACATTCCAGAACAGGGCCTTAACCATGATAAAAGGCTTGAGCAGCAGGAAGGAGGGAACCGAAGGGGCAATGGAAATTCCTGCTGGGTCATTAGTGGTTCCCAGCCACTGGCTGGATTTAGAACATACCTTTAAGTGTCAGGGTGGAAATAACACAAACACCATGAAGACAGTTCCCTTTTTGCAATTACTGGGACTAGCCATGCCACAAAATGGAAGGGTCATGCTCCCTGAACTCATTTTAGATTAGTTATTTGAAACTTGGGTAACATCTCTTTCAGGGGAAAAGGGATTCTATGATGGGTTCCCAGGCTAGTCTATTTAACTGATACTATAATTGACCTCTTGGTCCCAGAGCCTGGAAACCAGAATCATTAAGGTCCAGGGAGGGGAAGTTTCCATGTCCATGGTGTCCTTTGCTTCCTCCTATCCCTCCTCCAAATCCTCCCAATGTCTCTGAGCCCCCAAGCTTCCCCAGATACTGGAATACTCCAGGTTTTGACAGCTGCCAGCCTTCCCTTTGGTCTCTCAGGGAAGCTGCTATCAACCCAGATTTTGGAGTAATGGGTAATCTGCTAGAACTAATCCACATACATGTGTGAATGACTAACAGTCCCTGAACCAGTGGCTCTGACATGTCAGTTGGCTTATGAAAATGCAAACTCGCAGACCCAACCCTAGATGTGTGGATTGAGCACGGGCTAGGTTGGAGAACAGAGAATTTGTGTTTTTTAACAGTAGTTCAACTGATTCTAATGTTGGTGGTATAGATACCATGGATAAATACTAGAACAGGTGAAGTGGCAGGCATTTATAATTCCATGGTGATTTGCTCTTTACTGGGCAGGAAGAGTCACACAGAACAGAATCCAGGATTTGCAGGTAAAAAAGATAAAGACAAAAGCAAGCTACTACCTGGGTGAATTATCTCTGTGCTTCCATTTCATCTGCTGTGATATGACATGGCTCAGCCATGAGAAAACTTGGACACTACAACAAGGAGAGGATTTGTTGTAGATTTCAAAAAAGGACAAGTTCTTGTCCGTTTGGCCCCCACCTACCCATAACAAAGTACCCTCACTTGTGGTATTCAACCCCCCTCGTGACATACAGTATCACGGAGAGATTAAAAGCCCAGGTTGTAATGCTCAACACCATAAGTCATTCAGTAAATGCACAGCAAACCCAATGAGATACCCCTGCACATCCACTCGGTTGACCAAAATCAAAAAAAGGAAGAAACAAGTATTGGTGAGGAGGCAGAGAATTCGGAACTCCTGTACATCGCTAGTGGAAATGTAAAATTGTACAGCCACTATGGAAAATGGTTTGGCAATTCCTCAAAAAGTTAAACATAGAGTCACCATATGACCCACCAATTCTACTCTGAAGTATATACCCAAAAGAATTGAAAGCAGGGACTCAAACAGATACTTGTACATGAATGTTCATAGCAGCATTATTCGCAGTAGCCTAGCCAAACAACCTAGAAACAACCTAAATGTCCACTAACTAATAGATGGATAAACACATTCTGGTCTATTCATACAACAGAATATTATTCAGCCATTAAAAGGAATGAAGTACAGATATATGCTACAACATGGATGAACCCGGAAAACATGAGACTAAGTAAAAGAAACCAGACACAAAAAGTCACGTATTGTGAGATTTCATTTCTATGAAATGTCCCGAATACCTAAATTTATAGAGACAGAAAGCAGATTAACGGCCAGTAGCAGGTAGGGGAATGGAGAACTGGGGAGTGACTGCTAATGGGTACAGTCTCCTTTTGCAGTGATGAAAATACCTTGGGACTAGAAAGAGGTGATTATTGCACAACATTGTGACTATAATAAGTGCCACTGAATTGTACACTTTAAAATGTTAATGGTTATTTTCATGTTTTGCAAATTTTACCTATTAAAAAAAAAGCGGGGTGTAACCAAACCTCCTGGGTTCAAAGCCCAGTACTGCTACATGATCTTGAGCAAACTCTGTGCCTGATTCCTGTAAAGGGGAAAATCTCTAAAGGCAGGACAATAAATATGTGCCATGATTTCATCACACAAACCCTACCCACTATTATTCAGGCAAACCAAGGCCAGGCAGGTTAGGGGCTTGTTCAAGTTCACATAACAGGTTCAGAAGTTAACTCAGAGTTGGTACCCAGCTCTTTTTGGACTCTAAGTCCATGCTCTTCCCCTGTTGACCATCCAATTTGATCCCTCACCAGGAACCTTGATACCAAGACCCCAGTCCCTGACAGCAGTGCAACTTTTTCCCAGTGATTCCAAGCATGGTGTACCTGCAAGGCAGAAATGATAGAGCAACAACTATTTTTGCTTCTTCCCAGCTGAAAGCCTTGGCCATCCTAAGAGGACTTTACCCACCAGCAGCTTGGCAACGACTGAGCCAGTGGAGAATTTTCCCCTCTCGATTCCCGTGACAATCAAGTTTTAGTCACAGAATATCCTGTCTTGATTTACCTTGGAAATAGGAGAAATCATCACTATCTTATTGCAATCAGTAGGGTCACCCAGAGGAATCTGTTCCAGAAGGTGGGGGAGTGGACACTCAGCTGTTCCCTGGGTCTTTTGGTTAAGTCTTTAGACTACTCCCCAGTATGCACTCTCCTTTTCCCCAGTACAGTGTAAGATCACAGGTACTTTCTATATCTGGTTCAATTCTTATGTTTTCAAGAATAATCTAGCTTACTCACATTCCCCAAAATCCACTTTCCTTCTTTAAGTAGAGAGAAATAAGTCTATACCCATCTATGTCTAGAAATCTTTCTTGATTCCATTGTTTTCCTCAAACAGCACAGCCAATGGGAGTCCTAGGAAAAACCCTGGGATATTTGCCAAGAATTGGGCCCACTGGATATTCAATATTGAATCAGACCATCACAAGCAGAAGATAAGGAATATCACCCCACAGGATATATCTAAATCCCAGGCTCTTGCCTTCTGGACACAGAATAACCTAAGTAACCTGGCCTCCCTAAGCCTTCCCTCCTCGCCCATCAGTTTCCACAGCCCACCCCAGCTTCCTCCAGGACTGTTCCAGGCAGCAGATCCAATCTGGCAGGTGTGAGATTCTATTAGCCCTTTCTTTATGGCTACCAATGTTTGCACCTCCAGAAAACCAAATCTGAAGCCCCAGGGTGGCCACCCAGAGTGACAGTCCCCCAGAAGAAGTAGGCCAACCAGAAGGATATTGGAGGAGATCTTAAGATCACTTTGACACCGCTGGCAGCATCCATTCATTGAACTTATCAGTACCTTCCCTCCTTCATTCCCAAGGTCGCTGGATTGAAGATCATGGAGTCATTCACAACATGATGTTTAACACAGAGACACACTGGAAGTACTCCTTCAAGACCACACAGAATAAGACTGAATGGTGGGACAATGGTGTTCTCCCCCTCTGGATCACAGCCCAGAGACAGGTACTTTCAGAAACCCTGGGTTGGCTTCCAGGGACATCGCATCTCATTCCTAAGCATGTGGGACGGGGGTTAGAAGCTATGACCTCGAGTAAGTGACTTAACTTCTCTAAGCATGTTTCCCTAAATGTGTAATGGGAATAATGACGATGTGCTTATTTAATAGATTTTACATAAGTATTAATTGAAATATGCATTTAGCCATTATTGATGGATAAGTCTCTACGAGGGCAGAGTCTGGCGTAATCACAATTGTACCTCCAGGGCTCACCATAGGGCTCTGTCACATTTTTTTAACCCAGCAGCACTTTCATAAATGTCTGTTTATACACTTGTCTCAGACTTAAGCATAAAAGCCCTTAGGAATGAAGTTGACCATTTAATGAATCTTCAGACCACGGAAAGTTCTTAAGATAACATTCACTCGAAAGGATTCTGGTAGCCATTTATTATTGCTTCAAAAAGGCAGAAATCAGAGGTCTGTGTTTAAGTCCTAGCCCAAAACCTTTTGTCAGCTTTGTGTTTTCTTAATAAGCTTCCACAGTCATCACTTCAGAGTAGGACCTCCTCCTTGTCTTCCCCAAGACACCAATCTTTGCTCCAAAGATCCCCTTGGCACTGGCGCTTCACCTCTATGCTCCAAGGTACACTGGGTGTGTCATGTTGCAAGATGGTGCCATTGCAGCTCAGAATGCAGGCTGCGGACTTGGACACCTGGAGCAGGATCCAGCCAGCTCCACTCTTCTCCAGCTGCATGACCTTGGGCAACAACCTCCTCTGGGTGTGTGATTTGCCCCAACCATAAAATGAAAACTGTCAGAGTCCCTGCTTCTTAAGCCCATTGGGAGGGTGAACTGAGATAATGCACATGTCTTGAAAACTAAATGTTCAAAAACTATTAGTCATTAAAGGAAGTTGAATCATCTTAGCACTTCAGCTGGTCACTACAGCTCTAAACCAGAACTAACCAAAGGAACTTTCTTTGATTATGGACATGTTCTACTGTGTACTTTCCAAAATGGAAGCCACCAGCCATGTGTGCTTATTGAGCCCTTGAAATGTGGCTAGTGAGACTGAGGAACCAACTTTTTAACTGCATTTGATTTTAATTAATTTCAACTTAAATCTAAATACCACATGTGGCTAAGGGCTACCATATTGGACAATGTAGCTTCTAGATGAATCACAGGGAGTTGTCAATGACTCTACCTTAGCTTCATTTTTCCCCCTAACTGTTGGGCTCTAGATTCTTTCCTCTTCTGTCACATTTTTAAAAATTTTTTTAACATTTATTTAGTATTCAGAAACAAGAGAGACAGCATGAGCATGGGAGGGGCAGAGAGAAGGGGAGACACAGAATCCGAAGCAGGCTCCAGGCTCTGAGCTACCAGCACAGAGCCCGACACAGGGCTTGAACTCACAAACTGCGAGATAATGACCTGAGCTGAAGTCAGACGCTTAACCAACTGAGCCACCCAAGTGCCCCCTTCTGTCACATTTTTTAACTTTGAAGCAGAGACCACCATGCAAATAAATTCTGTCCTCCCAAGAAAATAAGATTCATAACACTACATGTCTAATACTGATTTAAGTGCTTTACATTTATTAATTTATAACAGCTCTTAGGTGGGTGCTACAATTACGTCCACTTAACAGATGAGTAAACTGTTAAACAGAGCAGTGCCATAACTTCTCAAAGTCACAAAGCTTGCAAAAGGCAAAGCTGAGATTTGAATTCACTCAGGGTTCAGCAACTCTTAACTCTTAACCATAACAGAATATTATTTCCTTGGCCAAAACATTTAGCCATGGATCTGATAGTGAATCTTACTGCTAGGGAGATCTGGGCAGTCTTCATTAATTCACTATTCAACTTGCTATGATATTTGTTCATTGGCATGAGGGTTCTGGTAGCATTCTTTCCTGCAGTTTTTCTTATTCACAGTTCTTGTCTCATTGCCATTTATTTTCAGGACTTCGTTTCCTTCTGCTCAACTCATAATCAGAGTGTTCTTCCTCTTTGCTGAATTCATAAGTGGTTATGCAGAAAAAGGATCTGGTTCAGGGCCAGGCGACTGAAAACACGCCATTCATTTAGCAAGTGAAAGTCATGTTGGTGCATCTCTCATTCTACCACTGATATCTCCTGCCATGGGACAGAGCCATTGCCCAGCAGCCTGAAGAGATAGCAGGAAAACCACTGCATTCAAGGCAGACCTGTGGCCCCAGGTCAGCTCCCCAGTAACAGGATTCCAACTGGCCCTAAATGTCATTCAGAAGCCCATATGTTTTTCCAGGAAGGGCTATGGGGGGGCGGCCTGGCCTGTATCCATCACTGGGAAAATCCATCGTTCTCCTGAGTCTCTTCCAGGCAGTCTTTGTGGAGATTGATGCATTCACCTTTAATAGGACTAAAATGTTTTCCTTCCATGACACTAATGCTGCCAGAGTTCATCAAGATACACAAGCATTGACATGCCTTACACATGATGCCTAAAAGATGGGATTCCTGGCCACCTTTGCGTCCATTAGTCATGGTTCATGAGCATATCCACACTCCAGCAGGACTTCACTAATGGTCAGGGTATGAACAGAGAAGCTCCATTTAGAGCAAGCTCATATTTTAAATGAGCATACCTGATAACTGAACATGATTAATGGCTGAGATGGTTCACCATGTTCAGAAGTCCTAATCCTCAGAGAAAGGCAGACAGCCATGACTGTAAGATCCAAGAAAACCATAAAAACCTAGGGGCACGTTTCACCTCTCTATGGAGGAGCTATAGAGTGTATTAAGGAGTGAAATGGCAGAGGATGATCCGAGTGAGATCCCCATAGCTTCCAAGAGTCTGTATCAGGACCATGGTAGGCTATTACCAGGAGGGGATTCAGAGAGATGGTGGGGAGTTTAGCTATGGTTTTCAATGTAAGCCAAGTCTCCTAGACAATAGCTTCCAAACTTGGAAGAGCTGTGAGCAAGATGGTGCCAGGTACTTCTGCCTAGAGTGTTAATAACAGAATAATTCATCCCAATATTGGCCCAAACCATGTTTTTATAATGCATCATAAAGGCTCTAAGAATAATAATCTGACCTCCAAAAGGGTGTGGGATGGGGAGAAAATAGAATCTTGGCCGTCTGGCTCCTTCTGTTCAGTGACTCCTCTGGAGCACAGAAAAGCAATGAAAATGCTCAGACTTCTGAATTTCACATACATACAGTCCATCTCTTTCCACCCAGTCACTCCCTAGAAGGAGGAACTAACTCCTTTCCCTAAACCACACACACTTCCCACCAAAGCACAACCATGATAAAATGTTCAAGGGCCTTCCTAAAACATGTGCACCTTGTGACATTCACTCTATCACCTAAAGGAAGAAATAAAACAAAATACAAAACCAAACTGAAACTTCTGCTCTAATGATTTGTTCTGAAGAGTTTGGTGGGATCTGTACAAGGATTTTTCCCATAGTAAGTACCAACTCTTGTTTTAAAAAAGCAACTTAAGAATAATATCCACATTGATGCAAAACTACACTAAGGGAGAATAATGAACCTAATAAAACCAGAGATTTTCCAATTGCTATTGCTACTGGAAACACTGATTATGCTAATTAAAGGGTAGAATAGTAAATACCCACTCTTTTGCATCCAATTAAGTGCTCAGATTATTTCTCAGAAGTATTTGTTGAAAATAGCACTTTTGATTATCACGGGTCCCAAATAAACAGAGTCGTGTGTGTGTGTGTTTGTATGTGTGTGTGTGTGTGTACACACTCAAATACACATTTATCTCCGGAGCTCTTTACATGGAGTAGTGTAACTCTTAAAATTCCTATGGGACCAAGTAAAAAAAAAATCATACGGCTTGGGATATCTTTAAAGAAAGTGTATGTTGAGAACACAGCACAAGAAAACAATTTCAAGTTGGGAACATGTGAGATTTAACACACAAACATCAAGAACACAAATGGATAGGCAAGGCTGCCTAAGTCCCTCATAAAGTCAATGCCAGCTTATTCTAGATAATAAAATACCAAACTATGTTGTACAAAACGTTGAAAGTTTTATCCTTCCAGCCAATTCCATACTTCAGAGCAAAGTCAATTTATATGTAAGTTAAACAAAGTACCATCGCTAAAAACTGAGAATTATGAGTAATGCCAATCAGAAATGCAATAAATAAATATTAGAGGATTTGCAAGTTAAAGCAACCATATAAATTCTATTATCAGAAATGAAAATGTGTTGCCTGAAGAGATTACAAATAAGATGCTAGAACCCAAAAAAGGAAGAGCTTCTGTAACTATTTCCATAAGTTAATCAGGAGTGAGACTAGGATGGGTTTTGCACCCACTAAAGGAGATGCAATTCATACATTCATTCAACATGCGTTTAACCAACAATTACCACCTACACTGAACCAGGCCTATTCTAGGTCCCAGGAAAAGAGTGGTCAACAAAATCAACATGGCCCCTGATCTCCTGGAACTCCCATTCTAAGGGAGGGAAATAGATAGTAAACAAGTCAACAAAGTAAGATAATTTCAGATTGAGTAAAGTGTTTTATAGAAAATAAAACTAAATCACATAATAGAAAATGAATGCTGGAGGGCAGAGGGCACAATATTTCACCTATAACTATGGATAGCAGAGCTTCTGGAGCCTTGTGAAGAATTTAGTATTAAGAATTCTGCCTTTTTTTTTTTTTTTTTTAAGTAGGCTGCACACCCAGCATGGAGGGAGTCCAATGCAGGCCTTGATCTTATGACCCTGAGATCAAGACCTGAGCTGAGATCAAGAGTCAGACACTTAACTGACTAAGCCACCCAGGCACACCTTAAGACTTCTGTCTTACTTCAAATTTCCTAAAAGTAGAGCTTGAGGCAGGGGTTTAGTGCATGTGAGGCATTGAGGGAGAGTTCTCAGGAGATGGGAGTAAGGGAAACTGACAGGGCAGGGTTTGAAAGATAAATGGTCCCCAAAGTTGGATACCAGCTTCAGCATGATCCCACAGGGAGCTCTGGCGCATGAATTACATCCCATGTTATCCCAGCCTGAAGCAAGTAAGCTGGTCTTTTGTCCTCCCATTACTCAATTCCTGGCCATAGGCAGCTGGGAGTGAAGGAGCAGTATGGAACAACTTTCCAGGTGAGGCAAGATTTGGCCACTTGGCTAAAGGTACTTTTCCAGAACATGGAGCAGCTGAAGTGAATGTGAGTTTACTGGCCCAGTAAGGGGATCTGGGTAGAAAAACAACAGCATCTCCTACAACTTCCAAATTGCTTTCTTGTTTCTCTCTCTTAAACAGTATATAGGAAGTTTTCATTACTCTCTATTTATACTCTTCTGTTCATTTGTTAATCAAACAGCCACAACCCAGGTGCCATTATCCCCAAAGTCTTCCTGGTCATTTATTCTCCATACCAAATCAACATAGTTACACCAATCTTGGTTCTACTAAAACCAATAAATCTTTTGTGTTTTTCAGAACATTCAAACCTTGGGTGACACAGCAAGTGCCACAATACAGCCTTCAAGTTAATAGCTTTGCTGAGGCAAAGGAAAATACTTGCTCCCCAAATACACAAGTCATTCATTCATTGAACCAAAAATCTATTGAGCCCCTACTATGTGCCATGTCCTGGCTGAGTAGATGCTTTCCAACAACAGGACTTATTTAGTGAGATGTGTTCATCTTGTTGTGAACTCATTAAAGAGCATATATAATTTTTTTTTCCTAACAAATTTCCCAAACTTTGTCAACAGCCACCTTTCTACTGGGGAGATTACTTAAGAATATTTCATAACTTTGCAATCACATGTGTTGTTAAAACAATATATTGAGTTATTTCTGGTTCAAAGCTTTCCTCAGCCCTTACTTCTCCTCCCCAGAAGTCCCAAGATCAAATCTCGTTGGCTCTGACTGGGACATGGGCCCACGTCTGAACCAACTGCTGTGGCCAATGGATGTAGTGCCCTCTAATTGGCCAGGCCACAGCCACATCCCACTTCTGGAGCCTGATGTGGAACCAATACATCCCAAACCAGCCATGAAGCAAGGGCAGAGAGGAGAGCCTCTAGGGAGAGTCAGCGCTCTCTGAACCAGCAGAAGGATATTGGGTGGTAGGCAGGCAAACTGTCCACTATACAATTCAGCAAAGGCTTTATGGTGATTTGCTATACTTGGAGGCAAAGAAAAGACTACCTAGCACATGCCAAAACACAATACCCAACACTTTACCTTAAAGTTATCTGGCTTAATCCTCACAAAAATACCATCAACTTTTTGGCATTTTACATATAGAAACCCTGAAGCATAAGAGGTTAAAGAACACACTCACCATCAGCAACTTTTTCCTCCATTCCAAGGGACTTTTTTTTTCATTTTGCCATCTCTAAAGTTGGAGTGCATCTTAAAATCAGTGGAGTGTCATGGTTTAACTGGCAGCATTTTTCTTCCAGTAGCACATAAAATAATAACATGTCTTGCAACTAACAGTGTTTTAGATTTGATGAGATCCTGGTGAAGCCAGGATGAATGAAATCCAACCCCATCTGACTCCAAAGCTCACATGTTCTCTATGCCTCTGGACTAGGGCAGAGATGTCAACAAGTCAGGCTTTGCTTATTTTATAAAAGATATAAGATACAGCCCTGATAGAATTTTCTTCTTGTACTTGCAGGGGAGGAAGACAGCATCATTCCACTATCCTGGGGGAGGTGCAAAGTACAAAGGGGAGGCTGTCCAGCGGTCCCTGGTGGAGTCTCACACTCACCCAGACAGCAATGAGACAGAGTGGAGGGAGAACATAGATATTGTCATGAACTGGTTCACTAAGGAAGACTTTGATTTTGTGACTCTGTACTATGGAGAGCCAGATAACGTGGGACACAAATTTGGGCCTGAGACGGAGAACAGAAGGGTGATGATTCAGCAAATTGACAGAACCATCGGGTACCTGGTGGAAGCCATTAAAAGGCACAGCTTGACCAAGCACCTCAATGTCATCATCACATCAGACCATGGCATGACCACAGTAAAAAAGAGCCCCAATGTCACTGAGATCCTCTTGACAAACTACATCAAGTTCAAGGACTTGGTCAAGTTTGATATCGTGGACTATGGTGGCTTTGGGATGATCCTGCCCAAACCAGGGAAAGAGGAAGCTGTTTACCAAGCACTGAAGAATGCACATCCTCACCTCAATGTGTACAAGAAGGAGGAATTCCCAGAACGCTTCCATTTTGCTAAACACAAGCGGGTGCTGCCAATTGTGATGTACGCTGACTCTGGTTATAACATCAATGGGGTGAGTCGATTCTAAAACGAATGAAGCCATCTTGGATCTGGGAGACAGCCTATAGAGAGAAACGATTCTGAAAAAAAATTAAAACATAAGTTGTAACCCACTGTTAGTTCTAAGTGTTCCCCACCCTCACCCCATGTCTCACCCAACCAACCCTGTCCCATGTTACTGCTATGCAGTTATAATGACAAACATCCCCGACCAAAGCTCTGTCCAGCACTGTACTAAAAATTTAACATGAGTTGTTTCATTTTTGTCTTCCCATCAACCCAAAGATAGATACTCTTATTTCCCTTGTTTTATTTAATAAGGAATAAGCCAAAGATAGAGAGAAGTGATTCAGGATTAGAAGTATAAGGTTAATGTTTTAATCCAAGCCTGTGTGCTTGCTTGATCATTATGCACAGATCACCAGTAGATTCACCAAAAATAACCATGTGCTGGTTCCCCTTTACACATATCAAGGAGAAGGAGGAGGAGAAGGGGAAGGAGAGGGACAGGGAGGTAGAGGGAGAGGGAGAAGGAGAGGGAGGGGGAGGGGAAGAAGGAGGGTGATGGGAAGGAGGAGGAGGAGGAGGAGGAGGAGGAGGGGAGGGAGAGGAGAAGAAGGAGAAGCCCTGTTCATACACACACACACACACACAAATTACATACAAATGGTCACAACAGCATTATTCATAAAAATCAAAAAGTGAAAACAAACCAATTGCCCATCAACTGATGAATGAATAAACAAAATATGATATAACCATACAATGGAATATTATGTTGCCATTAAAAGGAACAAGGTACTGATACATGCTACAACTTGAATGAACCTTGAGAACACTATATTTACTGAAAGAAAGTAGATACGAAAGACTTTGTATGATTCTATTTAAATGAAATGTTCAGCACAAGCAAATCTATAGAAACAGAACACAGATTGGTGATTGTCGGATGGGGAAGGGGGAGAGATGTTGGGAAGAAATGGGGAGTGACTCCTGAAGGGTACAGGGTTTCTTTTTGGGGTGATGAAAATTGATGGTGGTGATAGTTGCACACCTCTGTGAATAAAATTTAAAATCATTGAATTGTACACTTTAAATGGGTACATTATATGGTAATTATACAAATTATATCTCAAGAAAGCAGTTATGAAAAAATAAGCAAGCCTAAAGAAGAAAATACCAAAATCAATGCTAATTGTGAGATAGATTTAAGATGGTCTGGTTTTTGTTAACTATCAACCAATAATTCATGGCAGAACAAAATGTAAGTGATGTTTAAACACTGCATGACAGAAGACCATCCCAGAAATAGTTTGAAGAACACTTGTCCTAGGCTATGGACATGAGCCAAACATTATATTTGCAAACTGTTCAGAGTATAATAGGTATAGGAAAATTCATAAGGTTATTGTTTGGCGTTGGTGGAAATAGTCACAGTAAAATGCAACAATTACTTGATATTTTGCAATCCCTCACATGACCCAGATCACTGAGGATGCATGCCCAAAGCTAAGTTCTTGCCAAGGAGAAATTCCATAGCCACTGGCCTCTTTCTAAACCTGGTTCATGATGTAACAAGTTGAGAGTGATGTGAAGGAATTTAATGCAATAGTCACATTCCCAACATAACCAACCAGGTTTGAGGGAATAGGGAAACTTCTGAACTGACCATTAGAAAATCCTTTGGGTCTCAGTGCCTCTCACTGAGTACACTTCTCAGATCCCCATCCACCTGCCTGACTTAATGTGAAGTGGGTGTTACTCTTCTCTCTTCAGGATTAAGGAACTTGCAAAGCACAGGAGGCTATCACCAGAGGCACTATGTTTCAGCTTATTATTGTCAGTAGTACCTTCTTGCTGTGTCTAATGGGTATACTTTCTTTATTCTCTTTCTTAAAGATCTTTCATTCCTTGCTCTTCCCTTTGGCACTGCAGAGCAGTGTCCTTCCTTGTCATTTAAATTTTCAAAGGTTTCATGGATCTGACAAGCATGACAATAACTAAGGGACAGTTTTCTTTCAGGGGATTGGAGTCTAAAATGGCTTTTTTATTATTATTTTTTTTCAGCAACTAATAATATATTTCAACAAAGGAGATCATGGCTTTGATAATGTCTACATGGACATGAAGACCATATTCAGAGCTTTTGGGCCAGATTTCAAAAAGAATCACCTAGCTGAGCCTTTTGACAGCATCCACATCTACCCACTCATGTGTAAGCTCCTGGGGGTTACCCCTGAACCCCATAACGGCTCCCTGGCAGTCACCCAGGAAATGCTTGTGCAACATGAGCACAATGAGCAGCAGCAGCAGCAGCCAGGTGAGATACAAGAGCAACCACCAGAAAACTGGCAGTCTGACCTATTCTGTCCTGAGATACAAAAGAATGAAAAAGAGGTTGGGCGGGGGAGTGAGGGGGCCACTGGTAGAATCGAGCAGAATAATCCTGTTTGTCCAACAGCTTCAGCATCTGCAGGGCAAGATAGCAGCAGCTCTTAAACAGGTAGCAAAGGAAACAGGGAATCCCTCCACGTGCTGGTGACATTTCATACAGTGCCTCTGGGGCCAAAGGAAGGCTCTCCATAGACAGTCAAGCAATGATCCTTCTGATCCTTAGAAATCACATGCAATCTGCCCCCCTGATGTCCCTTGTAGTACAGGAAAGCAGTCTTCCTTCAGCAACTCAGCCTTTGCTAGTGCCTGGAAGAAAGCTGCTCACAGTGGAGGAAACCTTACCATTCCACTCATTGCTGAAAAAAGAAGGAAGGAGGAGTTTCTGTAAATGGGGTTGCTAATTCTTAAGACTTCAAAACCTTAAACCTGGGTGATATAAAGGAAGAATGGTATAGTCTCTAAGAATGCAGTTGTTTGCAACCAGGGGCCAGCTTTTCTTCTGCCAGGAGAGACTTAGATGCTGTTCAGTGATTTATCATACTTAAAGCAACTACACTCAATCAAAACAGAGTATAAAGGACACGCTTTTCCCTTCTTCTAAGCCACTGCACACGACTTTCTTGTGAACTTACAGGATGCAGGCCATTTTGTAGGAAACTACTTAAATGAATGACCAACTCAGGAAATTATTGGGATTTTTTTTTTTAAGTTTTAGAGTTTTGCTATAACTATTTGGCCCCTACCCCGTCTCATAGCCCATTGGGAACCTGGGGTAAGGTGTCTGACTGCTGTCAGTTATTGATTAGCAGGATGTCCCACCAACTGATTTTCAGCAAATTGGCTTTTAGCAAATTGGTCACTTGGCAAAGTGGTCATTAGGCAAATGGGTCATTTGGCGAATAGGTCATTTAGTAAATCGCCTTTCAACGACTTCCCTATGAGGTTTCTCTACAGTGAACACTTTCTTGGGTTAAATGTACATTTCATTTCCATAATTAATATTCACCAGAGCTTGGATGAAAAACTTCCCGAAGACCCAGGAGCAGCGAGAACAGCCTCTTAATAATCAGACAATTAAAAAACCATCTTATGTTTTATCAGGAGCAGAGACACAGAAGACATTCCCTCTCCAGAAGGTAGCGTTTGGCCTCGGGATTGTGACAGGAGTTCTTGCCGTTCTGTGTGTTGCTAGTGTGATATACACAGTCATTCGTCGGAAAAAGAAGTGAGTATTCTTTGGGTTTCCCAGGGTTTATCAGTGTACATTATAATAATCCACTTCAACCATTTCCTGCATGCCAGAGGGGATCCAGCACTTTGAGAACCCAGCAACCAGAGCCAGGTTCATGACTTGTAAAGTGAGCACTCACTCAAGGCCCAGGGCTCAAAAGAGCCCTCAACTTGGTTTAATAATTTACTAGTCTGTCACCATTTCAGAATTCTTGATTTTTTATTTATTTTATTTGAGAGAGAGGGAGAGAGATAGACAGAGAGTCCCAAGCAGGCTCCATGCTCAGCACAGAGCCCAATTCAGGGCTCATTCTCACAATCCTGGGATCATGACCTGAGCCAGAATCAAAAGTCAGAAGCTCAACCGACTAAACCACCCAGGCGCCCCAGAATTCTTGATTTTTTTTTAACAAAGACCCTGCATTTTCATTTTGTACTGGGCCTCCAAAATTAAATACCAGTTGCATTAGTTTTCCACAGCTGCCATAAAAAAAGTACAACAACGTACCTGGCTTAAAAGAACAGGTACTTATTGTCTCACAGAACTGGAGGGGAAAGTCCAAAATCAAGATGTTATAAGGTCAAAGCTGCCTCCGAAATTTGTATGGGAGAATCCTTCCTTGCCTCTCTAGCTTCTGGTAGTTGCTGGCAATCATTCGTATTCCTTGGTTTATAGATGCATCGTTCCAGTCTCTGCCTCCATCATCACATGGCCATCTTCGCCGTGTGTCTCTGCCTTTACATGGTGTTCTCTTCTCTGACACCACTCATGGGATTTAGGGCCCTCTGTACTCCAAGATTACCTCACCTTAATTATATCTGCAAAGAGTCTATTTCCAAATAAGGTCACCAATACCATAAGGTCCTAAGTACCAGGGGTCAGGACTTCCAACATATTCTCGGAGGGACACAATCCAACCCATAACACTGGTTCTGCCAGTGTTACAGAGCCTTGGTGCACCTCTTTCTATATATCAATAGTTATATCATTAGACTGAGCCTCCCATATTCCTTATTATACCCAACCCTGACCATTCTTGTGCTTTAACATAGCTCCTGTCTCAATAGAATGGAGGCCTCCTGAACACTATAAACAGCCTAAGGGAAGTCAGAACTTTACTTAACCTTAACTCCATTACAAAGCCCACATTTAATGTAATTTATATTTGAACTATAAAAATTTCCTATAAGTTGAAACATGACCTATAAAGGTCTCTATGCCCTGAAGCAACATTTTAAAAAGAAATCAATTGGTCCTTTTCTACAGAAACCATCAGCTATAGGAGAGCTAAAGGAAAAACTTCAATGTACTGATTGAACTGCCATGCCCACAGCATAATTTCTAAAAGGCAACTATTCTGTACGGTTAAAATATATTAGATGGTTGTTGTTGTTGACGTTGTTGCTGTTGTTGTTAAAAACCTCCAATCCAGAAGTTGAATCTTTAATATAGCGTGGGCACATACACATCCCCTCTCGCCACTGGCAGGACCATGGGATAGGTCCTAATGCTTCTCTCCATATCAACACTCCCCAGAAGTTTTACTTTCTGTGGTACCTAATCTTCATTTACACCTGAACACACACCTGTGAGGCCCCTGGGATGTTAACAATCCCTTCACTGTCTTAATTCTTCCAGATTCAGATCGGAGATATGTGGCCTTATGAACTCTGTCCCTCCCTAGAGCCCACACACCAAAATAAAGGTTTCTTCTGTGTGCAAGTCAGTGTCATAGACCACTCGGGGTCCTTTCCCAAACTACATCCCATCTGGCATTAGGAAAGGCTAAAACAGCCTAGATTTATTAATATCTTAGTATAACGTCATACAGTATTACTTATTATGGCACTGACTGTACATGCCCTTTTGCTCCTCAGAAGAAACGCAATTAATAGCTACTTTGGGTGTTAACAAAATAAGCCTAGTATTTATAAGTTTGACCCTTTCCCATTGGTTTTCATTGTCTACTGCAGGCAGAGAGCTGATCAAATGAGCAAAAGTGGACCAATCGGCCTGGCCCAGTTCTGAAGCATCATTCCCTTAAGACCAAGCCTTGGCCCTGGTTAAGGGTCATCATATCTCAGATGATTCTACCTCAGGATACCGTGAGGAAGAGGATTTCTGCAACATCAGACCCAGAAACCATTAATTCCGTGTAAAAACACATCAATAATCACGGCCCACCCTCTTGATTTAAATCAACAGTGTGGAGAGAATAAGACAAACCGTTCCTGTGTCAGATCCTGTGCTCACTTGGTACTGGTGGAAGAACAGATATGAGAATAAATGCATTCCATTAGAATTAATTCTTCTCTCTTGTTCTCTTAGCTGAGCAGGGCTCAGTGTTTCTCATCTGAAAGGGGTAATAAGATTTAATCTGTCCCCTCATCTACCTTCTGCAAGTATATTTAGCAAATTAGCTCTCAAGACTCTTCCAAATGGAGTTTTATGAGAGATGTGCTAAAGTAAATGTGTTAGACTTTGAACACAGTTCAAACTCCAGAGGCAGCACCGGTGGGTTGCTGCCTATCCTGCCTCTCACTCAAGACGTAATAACGTCTAATGGAAATAATAATTTTTTTTTCTTTTCTTCCCCCTCCTCAACCACCCCCAGGAACTTTCTTACTCTTCAGATTCCTTTCCCTACAAAGTCAAAACTCCTGCTGTAAGTCCTCCTAGTTCCTGGAGCTCGCCTGCACGCTTGCTTCCCCCTGAGCCCCTGAAGGGCAGGGACCACACCTGGGTTTCCCTCACCAGGCACACAGTAGGTGCTTAATAAGTGGTGAAAACAAGGCTGGTTGGATTAGGGACGGACCGAGGCCGGGGGAGTGGGGGTTCTGGCCTGGTATTAAAGAGGTCATGGAGAGGACGTGACCGCAGGCTGACCTCGCAAGCTCCTCGCCCCTTCCCCGCCCTGAATCCACCTCAGCGCACGGGTGGGGCTTCCACCCGGGAGGCGGTTCGGGGTCACCACCCCAGAGCACCGCGCAGTGGAGAGGACGCGGACCACAAAGGGGACTAAACCCCGCCACAGCCTCCATGCGAACGTTTAAGATTCTGACACAGGGGCGCAGCTCATCTTGCAGCGCCCCGGTGGGTAAGGCCTGAGGGACTAAGTTTCCTTGCCCATTGACTGCGCCACCTACCCTACCCGGAGCGGCGAACTCGCACCTCGACCCGAAGGGGCGGAAAAGGCCTGAGGCTCCTAACCCTGGCCTGGGGACGCGGTCCTGGAACGTGAGGGCCGTCAGGCTCACTCCCTCCCAGCTGCGCAACAGGGAGGGAGCTACGCGTCCGTCAAAAAGTGCCTCGTGAAGACGCGGGAACAGCGAGAATGATTACCTGACCCTTCGCCTGACTGGACGCTACCTACCACAAAGCCGTCGCCTCCCGCCTTGCCCTCACTTGGCGCCAAAGCCCTGACTCCGCCTCTCAAGCCCCAGGCCACGCCCCCCCATCCGACCCTGGCCCCGCCTCCCACGCGCCCAGTGGCGCCTGGCCCGCCCCCGGCCCGGCCCCGCCCCAGCCCCGCCCCAAGTCCTCTGGGCCCCGCCCCACTGCCGCTCCGTCTCCCGGGCGACGCCGCGGCCCCGCCCCGCCCCGCCATGGCGCCGGAGGAGAGCACGGAGGCCGCACGCCTGTCAAGTTTCGAGCGCCGCTTCCTGGCGGCGCGCGCGCTGCGCTCCTTCCCCTGGCAGGTGGGCGGTGGGGCGCGCGAAGGGCGGGCGGGGGGGCGGCTGGGCAGGGTGGGGGCGGGGCGGGTTCCGGCGCCCACCTCCTTCTCTCCCCCCACGTGATGTTCTCGGCTCTCTCTCGTGTGCAGGGGCGGTACGTCTGGTCCTCGTCCCTGGGGCTTAGCTGGGGGCCACGCGGTCTGGCGGCGGGGAGCAGAAAGAATACCTGCGCGCGCTGGGGAGGCCCAGCCTGCCGTCTGCTCCCTCCACCCCTGGCCCTTCCCGCCCTCAAGTGCCTTTGCCGACTGAGTCCACGAATTTAAGGAATGCGGGGTTTCTTCCCAACTCCCTTTGTCACTTGGGGGTTAGGGTCAGGGGCAATTCACGAAAAATTCTATTACTTTGTTTAGTCAGTTGTCATCCTGGCCGTTGAGTAACAGTTGCTGCTTCCCATTTAAACAGTCAACGTCCGCAAGACCGCGGGAGACCACGTTGCAATGAGCGCAGTGACCAAGTCACAGACACCACACCTCCCCTCCCCCGCCAGGCCTCGGTGTTCTCATCTGTACCATGAGCATTGTACAAAATCCCCTCAGAAGCAGTTTAAGCCTCTTAGGCCTGTGATGGAAGAGACAGGGAAGTACAAAACAGGCCAGAAGAGAGACGAAAGAAGTCTCACCTCCCCTGCCCTGGAGACCTGCCCTCCTCGCACAAGCAAATGGCCATGGCGGCAGCTTCCTTCTGCCAATGCAGGGGCTCTAATGATGCTGCCTCCTTCATAATTCATGTGCAGTGAGCTCACTGGGATGACTCAGATTGGGTACATATTCCTCCCCCCAAGTTTGCCCCATCTTAAGGGGCAGTGGTTAGTCATTTGTGTCTCATTGACCTAACCCATTTAGCATTCTGAGTGGTCTTTCCCATCAGAAAGGAATATGTACATTTTTTAACCCAAAACGTAAACCTTTGTAACAGCATCCGTGGGTCCCAATTCAGTATCGACCATGATTGTTCACATGAAATAAGCGCTTACTCTGTACCAGGCCCATGATAAATGCTTACTTAGGCTGGCCCACAACAGCCGTGCAGTGGGTACTATTACTGCCATTCACATTTGACCAGAAAGTTTTGATTAGAAAAAGAAGTAGCGTGCATCAGTGGAGAGACCAGGCCTGGGAGCAAGCATGCCTGCTTTGAATCCTGGCCCAACCCCATACAAGCTGTGTGACCTTGAGCAAGTGACTGCATCTCTCTTATACCTTAGTTTTCTTATAAAGTGGGGGATATAATGATAGGGCTCTTGTTGGAATTACAGGAGTATGAAGCATCTGAGGCAGTACCTAGCTCATGGTAAGTGAATGTGTTAGCTAGTATTTTTATTCCATCACTAAATATTTACTGAATGCCTTCCACGACCCAGGCCCCAGGAATCAGCACACATTACAAATGAGGGCCTGCTTGGATGCAGGAGCCAGAGAATAAACAGGTAAATGAATAAGCAACACACCAGGAGATGATAGTGGCTGTAAAGTCAGTAAAACAGGGAACTATATGTATCAAAGTAGAGGAGTCAGAAAGTCCTCCCCCAAGAGGTGATATTTGAGCCAGAACCTGAACGGGTAAAGCAGCCAGCTGTGGCAAGGCCCTGCCGGTGAGAACAAGCTGCTGCAATTGAGGAACGGCAAGGAGGCCAGGGGTGATGGCACATAAGGTCAGAAAGAGAGGCAAGGGCCAGGGCTTATAGGCCTTTTAGAGCATGATAAGTCACTCTGGAGAAATGAAATGGTTTGCGTGGTGTCACACATCAGCCAGGACCAATCTGCCTGCTTCTAGAGCCTGAGCTCACTGCTGGGTTGGAGTTCCCTGTCAGAGAGGACAGCATAACCTGGCCTGGCCTATATGTCCATTTTAACTCAGATGTCAAGTCTAAGGTGAGCCCGTCCGGTGTTGATGTCATGGCTTCCCCTCATAATTCCTGGTTGACCATTTCAGCCACGGAGCTGGTCTGTGACCCAGGCCAGCCTAAGCATCCAAGGCTAATGCAAACCCAACAGTCTGTCTTCTGATGTTCTCTCTTTGACTGATCCAGGTGTAACCCAGGACTTCTCAAGTTCAGGCTTTCAGCCCGCCTGTGGCTTCCACTTCCAATTGGCCCCAGGTCCCTGGGGAGAGATCACTTAGCACTTTGCTAACATGTCCTATTACATGTTTAATGTTCCTGTGAAAATGCCCTTGAGATTTCTCTCTTTCTCCCCCCACTGTCTCTCTCTGAATAGAGCCTAGAAGAGAAATTACGGGACTCATCAGGTCCTGAGCTGCTGCTGGATATTTTGCAGAAGGTGAGAATCAGAATAACCAGGTGGCGTCACCAGCCTCCTGACTTCCCCATGAAGACATGACAGAAGCACAGCAGACGCACTTGTATCCTTTAAAAAAAAAAAGACACTGCATTTGGGTGGCACTGCCTCAGACAGCTCTGGCTCTTTTGTTTTCTTAGATGAAGACATCAGAATATACAAAAATCTGCATGAGAGGAGGGAATCTGGGGGATGTTTTTGAAACCATCCACAATGAAAACCAAAGTGACAGCTGTGGGAACATCTTCTAGCATTTGGTAGCTGCTCAAAGACTTGTTTCTTTACATTTAAGGAAAAAATAAGGAGGCGAGTCTTACCCACTCGTGTCTCTTCTAGATGTAGATGTGTCCTGCTTTTCTGAGGTGGGGTTTGAATTCTAAGGTACATCTGGGCGAGAGTAGAGGTGAGGCCACCACACTGCCACGTGGATCAGGTGGAGATCACACTGCATCCTGGCTATCAACCCTCTTAAGGATCATGAACCCTTCTTAAAACCCAAAGCTATGCACTGCCCCCCTAGAAAAAAGAACCAGAAGAATACATTTTTTGTACAAATTCGGGGAAGCCGTAGACCCCCCTCCAACCACCAAGCCCATCCAAGAAGGCTAGGTTAAGAATTCCTCTGAGGTGAGTGAA